GTACACCGATTTCTGGAACCGAACATGAATCCTTGTCAAGATCGGAACTCCTGCGACCCAACGGCCGGCAACAATCAATGGGCTGCTCTCCCGGAGATACTGGCGACAATACCGTCATTGCGACTGTGCAATTGTGCCCAGCTTTGAACGCTGGTCGCGTCGCCGCTGGTAGTCTAGCAGTGTACAAGTTACCCCGCTCCGCCGTGGTGCTAGCTAAAGGGGTTGGTTCAGAGGATTGATAGCCACTGATGCTGTTGTGGTTCTTGCCATTGCTTTGGTCACAGCTGTTAGGCAAGACGTTACCCTTAAAAAAAAAAAAAAAAATTGCGGGAGCGTTTTTAAGAACTATGTGTTTTAGTTCTGAGGAATGGGGATTACTCTATTTCTGAGGGAGTACAAGAGACTGTATATAGAACATGAGGCCATGTTGATCCCCTGTCAACTTGCTTCGTTTTTGTGTAGACTGCGAAGGAATTGTTATCGGTGGCGCGGCTTTGTTATTAATCTGCACTAGCCTCATATCATAACCGATATGGATGCGAGAAACAATGTACAATTTATCGCGACGAACTAAACACAGATGCTTCATCACGATCCTTGACGTTTGAACGGAGCCGAGTCTATGCTTGTGTTTGGCCACGCAAAACTATAGGATGATTGCTAGACACTTGCAGCGATGAATATAGTTCCAAGAAGACAGGCGAGTACCCAAGCGACAGCTGCATGGAAACTCTGGAAAAATAACCAAATGACTAAGCCTCCAAGTACTGCAATCGGGTAATTGTTCCACAGTATTAAAAAGAAAAGCTGGCGTCGCTCGACCCCGGCAAAAAGCTTCAAATACTGTATTATCACCATGGTCTGCTGTCGCACACAATACCACATGCTGGAGTGCCTATCGACTAGTTAGCATACCATAGCATCGTGCAATAAGCGTATTGCATATACCAGAAAGGCCGGTTTCTCAATCCTGTAAGATTTTGTTCAAGAATGTATTGAAGGATATCTGTAGAAATTGAGTTGCCTTCCACGGGGGTTGCAGGTACATGTAACGGAAGGGCAATCACTTTGCATATTGGTGGGGTAAGGCGTTAACTGTTCTATGCGACAGCAATACCGAATAGATAACTGGGCGAATGGTGCGTGGAATTTCGAAAAATCGGCTTTCGGTCCGCCGACATTCCCAAAAGTTGGTTGTACCGCCGTTTCCCATCAGCATTCTTCAGTTGTTTGTTGTGACGGGATATCTGTAGATCCAGATCAAGACAAGACTGACTTTGGATGCGGTTTTCGATTTATCTCCTATTGATACGAGGCAGGGCTTGTTCACTTTGGAGCGCTAAAGTTTGCCAACATGCACACCTCTAGCACAACGATAAGTCCTGGGTCGCAATAGACAATCAAATAGACAATCTACCGAAGCCGTTAACCCATTTGGTAGAAAATATTTTCTTCGCGGCTTGATTGGGTACGCGGGTAGTAGGAGTTATCAACTGTGGGGATTCATCCCAAGTTGACAGTCTGGGTCGGCTCCCTAGCCGAACGATGTGGGTACGACCCATGGTCACATGGTTAGCATGTCGCTGCATGTGGCCGGCTTTGTCACCCGCCAACTATGGTCGAACCCACTATTTACGCCCACAAGATATCCGTGGGGACGCTTATATTATCCGCCCACTCAATCACTCACATCCTTGCTCCAGGTAAGCCCCGCCGGTGGTTCGCTGTCGGTCCGCCGTTAGTTCCCGCAGGACAACCACCCGCCAATTATGTGGAACCCACTCTTTACTCCACACGATAGTCGTGGGAACGCTTATATTATCCGCCCACTCGAATGGCTTGCGTCATGGTCATTGCTCTAGGGCTTGGAGTTTAGAAAACAGAGGATAATCCACAGAAATCAATCGGTCTTCGAAATTAGTCATCGAGCTTATTAATTCATTCCCGTGGCCGCCGAGAAAATCTATTTACTCCTCCCGGTCCTCCAGATCTTGATATTTAACAAATTTCCACCTCTTTGCATGGTAAAACCACTCCTCGAGCCATTCGAAGTATAGTTGTCTAATTTGACCAGCAGCTGTCATTTCTGGGCCCATATCACGCTGAGATAATACTGTCACCATCAAAACGTCGGCTGG